CTTGCTATTTATATACCTATTATGAATGTTTAATATGGGTTCATGCCTCGATGATCGAAGTAAATTATAACAAGGCAAGGAAAATGTAAAACTACTGTAGTTCCATTATTAGTTTATACTCCATAAAAGGATATGCTAAATGATGACTATTCGTACCTTTTATGACATGATCAATGTTGCCATCGTAAATGGTTCGATCATAAGAACTGAAAAGAATTGTCACTGAAATAAGAATACGACACAAAACATCGCTTACTTTTCTTATTATTAAGAATAATTTAAACTGCTGATCCTCTTAACTATCTCTAAAAAATTTCTAAAATTTTACATAAGAATACCGAAACTGCATCAGTCGTTGTCAGCTATACTATGATGAAGCATTCGTGAAAAAATTTAAAGAAAAATTATATAATGAAAACGTGACCGATGTTCGCTTTTTGATCGTTCTAAACATAAAAAGGATTGAAATAAATAAAAACTGTATCTAATAATTTCTTTACAAGACGAAAGAGAAAAATAATCTGATTTGAGCAAAAATACCAGTTCAGCAATCAAATTCATACAATAAAAGTACATGCCATCACATTATCTACAGCAATAAGTTTGCTAGTCCTAGAGTTAAAGATTTATCGAATTAGTGTTTTGAAACAAAGAACTATACCCTTCTATAACATTGGTATACTGTCTTCATTAGATGACATCTAAACGTGAGCCAGACACAGCTTCAAGATCTTGAGATAGATTCGAAAGAAGATTCGATCGTCATGGGATAACCAATAGCACTTGACACTAGATCAGAGGAGTGAGAATCAATGGTACTTGTACTAAGAACATGTACATTTTTAATAAAAACTTATTCATAGTTGCTGAGATACCATCAGGGATGCCACCTTATCAGGCCAAAAAAGCGGAATTTTCCTTGTGAAAAGCGGAAAAATTGCGGAAACTATTATACACTCTTTCCTATATGTAGTTCTAATCAAATGTTTCGAATTTTTCTCAACAATAAACATATTGGCTTCGAATTTTTTAAAATATCTGAAACGAAAGAGTATTTAGCAACATGTATCAACCAGTTGTCGACTAGCTGCGACTTGATAAAACAAAAAAGGTGAAGGCTTCGTCGAAGCACGCTTTTATTTTATCTAGTAGCTGTTTTCAAATTTTACTAGCATTTGATGAACTCATAACAAGCTTCTATCAATAAAAAGTGCTCTGACTACGCATTCTACGGATTTAAAGAGAGCAGTCGCGTTTTTCATGACTGAGTTTTGTAATGAGTATTATAAATACGGATCCAGTTTTCTGTCACGCTCGCCCAAAATCTATCTAAGTTTTTCATTCCCTCAAAGCAATGGTAGGGCAACGAACGACTTTGATTAACATTTTAAGATGTGTAGATCAAGCGAATCTTAGTAAGGAATTACCGATTACACAGATTCATACTACTATGATATCTTAAAATCTTACCTATTTTAGGAATTAGCATCGCTCAAACTTATCAAACCAGTTTGATGTGAAATGTTTCGGCTGTAGAAAGTTGTGTATAGGATTGGAACGATTCTCATTATGTAAAAAAACAGTGTTTATTCGCTCAAATCTGTTGTGCTTGACCTGACCAACAATAGATCAATGTCATGGACTGGTGATTGTTTTGTCCTTCAGGCACGAAAATTTTAGCTAATATCTGATATTAAGCAGCAACTTTCGTTCGTAGAATCGAAAGATTTGACTCGAAATGTGTAACAACATTTTCTTGGTATGATGCAGTTCACTGTACGGAAACCTGATATCTAAGCAGAAGAAAAAACATTTTCATTGTAAATATTCTGAATTGGTTTGCATCAGCCCTGCTTTTTAAAAGAAGTTCTTCTTTTACATAGCAACGACGAATTTAAACATCTATCTCATTTCGACACAATCAATGCTTTTGACTTGAAGCAAGGTATTTTGTAAAAATGAGAATTCTAGATATAGCATTTCGTCATGTGATTGATAAATCTCCTTCGAAAACATATAGAATAGGTGAGTTATGGATGCTGTAACCAACTGCAATGCAAGCTTTTTTTTTTCTTAAAAAGTTTTAGCTAGATGGGATAACTCATGCGATCAAAAATCGAGGCTATGCTGGGAAAACGAGGGAAAAACTAAAATAGCGGAAAAAAGGCGAAAATGCGGAAACTTTCCGCAAAAAGCGGAAAAGGTGGCATCCCTGGATACCATATTCTGAAGAAGCTACCTATATTGAAAGAAAAATAAGATTTCTTCTCTTCTGTTTGTATTGTTGGTGTTGGAAGAATCTAAACGATAAACTTTACGATGTAAGATAAAGCTTTGGAAGTTATACTACAGCTGTGAAAGTACTCACTGGATGTTGTTCAACTTTGAGCCCGGATACCGAGTACGACTATCTGGGCCCTGTTAGAGTTCGGAATAAGAGGGACAAATCTAGATAGAAAGAAAATTCTGTTCGAGCCTAGGTGTAAAAAGTTGTACTCCTGTAGAACACTACTTCCTATAGATATTTTTTGGCGATATTAGAAATTCTAAAAATTTTATATTAATACTACTAAACGATTTCCTATGTTTTCAACTAGATTGGTCTAAAACTGGCAGTTTGAATCAAGGACGACGAAGACACACAGCATCTATATTGGCGAATGGGAAAGTGTTAGTTACTGGTGGATCTGGTGATTTAGACTATCTAAATAGTACTGAATTATACGATCCATCAACGGGACTTTGGACAATCATTGGTAACATGAATAATGCACGTGCAGAGCACACAGCATCTGTATTAATAAATGGAAAAGTGCTAGTTACTGGAGGACTTAATAACCAAGGATTTCTGAACAGCACTGAATTGTACGACCCATCAACTAGAGTTTGGAAAATCACTGGTAGCATGAATGAAGCACGAGCTGAACATAAAGCATCCGTATTGGCAAATGGAAAAGTATTGGTCACTGGTGGACGTATTAATGAAGATGTTCTAAATAGTACTGAGTTGTATGATCCATCAACAAATACTTGGACAACTACTGGTAATATGAATGATGCACGAGCTGAACACATAGCATCCATATTAACAAATGGAAAAGTGTTAGTTGCCGGTGGATATAGTGATTCTACTAGTTCGAACCGTTTACGTAGCGGTGAACTATATGATCCATCAACAGAGACTTGGACAACTACTGGTAGTATGAATTATACGCGGATTCTATTCTCAGCGTCTTCATTAACGGATGGAAAGATATTAGTTACTGGTGGCGCGAATTATAATTTTAATCGATATAGTGCTGAGTTATATCATTCATTAACAGGAATGTGGGCTATCACTGGTAGCATGAATCATCCTCGATGGAAACATACATCATCCGTATTAAAAAATGGAAACATATTAGTTACTGGTGGATTCGACCATTATCCTCTTGATACTGCTGAATTGTATGATCCATTAACAGAAACTTGGGCAAATATTGGTACGATGAATAGTCCACGAGGTGATCATACAGCGTCCGTATTGATGAATGGAAAAGTACTAGTTACTGGAGGAATTTATGATGGTGAAATGTTGAATAGTACAGAACTATCTAAATCGTTTCAAGCAGATGAAGTTTATTAACAACTTTTGACTTTTCGTTTAATTAACTTCTTCTCCGAATATTATAGTTAAAGCACATATCTTAAGGAAGTAGTCTATAATTACAAAACTATTTATCTCGTTGTTTTTCTGATAGTCATTTAAACTGTTACAAAAAGCCTAAGCGACTATAAACAAATTGGCCTGTGAAAATTTTCTTTCACTATGTATATTAAGACAGATTGGAACTTCATTTTGAGACATAAAGGAATGAATTTCTCATCATGAATAATTTCTTAAGTTAGAGTTAACATTGCATAGCTAGGTGAGAATATCAAAATATTGGGATTAGAGACTATTACTTAAACTCAATAATCTTTTCAGAAGAATGCATAGAGTTTAATATATAATTGTGAATTCAGGCTCAATGTAAATATGGTTCTTATATTGGCATATGGACAATATATTTCAATCATTCAAAGATTTCTTTTGGAATCATTAGAAAAGACAATAAGAATCAATTCGGTTTCATATTGAACATACAATGCACGATATGAATAAATTATAAAGTAATTCGAAATCGTTAAAGCAGACTCTACTAGAGTATCCACAGTCTATTAACGCTTGGTTTTAGTGACTAAATTTTCTGTTCCTTCATGTCCCATTCCGCTTCATTTTTCTTTTAGAGACGCATCTCGTCCTGCATTCTGCCTCATTTTGTTACATCGACATAACTCGTATTTCTCAAACTGAAATTGAAAACAGTACAAGAAATTTATATGTTCATCGGTATTTATGAATAATATTTTTAACTAATTATGTTCCAAAATAAGATTTACACAGCAACATTTTATCACAAAGTAAAAGTAAAAGCTCCGTAAGTGCAACTTCGAAAGCTACTTCTCGAGTAAATAATCCGAGAAAAAGTATATCATTAAGATTTAGTGAATTGACTGAAGATCGACATTCAGATATAAGGTGCCGGCAATGCGAATTTCAAGCAAAAAATTTTTTCGCGTGTTTTTTACATCATCGGATAGAACTTGAGCTGCTGATCACGACAATCTACTTTTTAGCCTTAGCAAATGCTTTCTTTCGGTCGAAAAATACGAAATACTCGAAAAGTGTCGTTTTTCGAGAAAAACACATCCTTTCTCGAAATGTGCAAAATTTTCCATTTTATTCTTTCGTTTTGCTTCTGAGAATAATTTTTTCAGATTCAGCATAGAAAACTGAGTAGAAATAAATTATTAGATCAACTATAGATCCAAGACTCCATTGGTGGTGGCGCTCCGAATCGCGTCGGATGCACCGCGTATAGGTCGATTTTTGTAAACCTATCTACTTTTTCTACGTAAGTGATAAAGCCAAATATTTTATCTCATTCGACTCGTGGTACCATCAGTCACAAAGTTACGCATCGTTTTTTTTCTTTTCTTTCTTTTGTTGAGAAAAATCGTTTGTACTGGTATCATACGAGAAAGGGAAAGGTTATTTTTAAAGAAAATGAGTATTTTTTCTTCAAACCGAGTGAAAATTTGCTCACATAGGCAATAACCAATGACAAATTGAACAGACATATTTTCTGGATCTTCTGAGAGTCTTCATGGGGTCTCTGGAAAACCTTCCTTACATAGAACATAGTTTTGTGATGTTAATCGCTATTTTATGATTTTTAATGGATAGTTTAATCATTCTTCATGCTTGGCTATATAAAAATCAGCGGAGACATGCTAAATAAAGGTATTCAAATAGAAAAGAGTGTGTTCACTAAGGTTTGTTTATGTTTTTATTTGATAGGGTGTGGGTGTGGGGTGTGAGTGTACATGTAGGTGGCAGCAACACTCACACCCACAGCCACACCCCTTATTCTAGAACGACAAAGAACGAGTTCCTTCAGACTGAGTGTTTCTTCTTGCAGATGAACGCATTCACCCAAGCAAACGAAAAAAACCAATCGATGGGTGCGACGAGTGGTCGAAAATTTGATGTACATATATTTTGTTCGTTCTGTTTTAATTTTGATCCATTTGACACTCATCGAATTTCGAGGACTTAGACACTGTATCCTATCGACGACTCATTTTCGACTCGTCGTATATATTTCGATACCTTCGGGAGAAGTCACCTATCGAAATAATGCTACCGACTTCTCTTACACATTTAATTTACTCGACTAAAACAAACATATTGAAAGAATCATATTCAGTGCTTCAATAGAGTCAAACTGATCATAATAACAGTTTTGACAAAAAAGTCTATAATATTGACCATATGAAACTTCAAATCCGATTCTAAAATATTCTTTATTTTTATTCAATAATTTTAGTAGAACTATTCGAGTTTGCTTCATAAGTCACCTTAATTTCAGAATTTTCTGGTCAACGTTGATCGTCCATTAATTGAAACTAAAAATAACATTCGCCTGCTTTTTTGACTAAGACATAGCAATAATGAATGTCCACTTTTTGAATTTAAAAAAAATTACTAAATATTGACCTCATACTTCCACATTCAAATCGACCGATTATCGCATATTGCACGTCATATTTATTCCATAAGTAATTTATACGGAATCTTAAATAAATAAAAAAGTTCATGTGTCACTTACAGAGATATAAAAAATTTTCTTTCTTGATGAAATTTTTTTCATGATAAAAACATTTCTCTTGATAAAAAAATATAATTTTTAGTGTTCAAAAAATAATCTTTTTTCCAGATGAAAAATATTATTTCTAATGTTTAAAAGAAGATCATCTCGTTGGACAAAAAGTATTATTTTCAATTTTCAAAAAATAATATAAAAAAGCATGAAACATTAAGTACTATCTTCTTATGAATTAAAAAGGTCGTTTTGATATAGGACTAATAGTACATATTCAGCTCAACTGTTCGATCAAAATGAATTGTAAGTATCCTTGTTCAAATCTATTCCTTCGCATATATTCGATAGGTTTCGACGACTCAACATTTATATTCGATGGGTCTGAACAACTCGAAATTGAGACATCTATTGGATAAAAATTCTTTTTTTCGATGAGATTTCGATCCATCAAAAATGACAATTCGAGTGGTCGAAAATTGCTAGTAAAAACAACCCATCGCCGAGCCCTCGACCCATCGGAAAATGGCACTTCCAGGGGTCGATTTGAAATTTCGATGCCCAACGGAAGCCAAAATCGACGCCTGAAAATACCTATCGAATGGTTGGTTGGGCACTAGCTAAAGGAACGCATTCTTTACATAGAAAAAAGGTTTCCTTATCTTTATGAAACCATTCTTTTGCGTTTTTTTCCAAAATAGTTTTCATTGGTGACTAAATATATTATATAGATAAAAAAGTTATTTTCAAACATTATTCTAATTTCATTTGTGATGACAAATATATACGTTTTCAATTACCTTATCTTTTAAAGTATACGTATTGTGCTCTAGCTAGATTTCGTTCCACTATTCGATAATAACATAAATTCTTCTTTTGTTTCTTTATCTTTGCTAACAAACCAAAAAAATAAAATAAAACACAAAGGAAAAGAATAATTTTAATCAATACAAAAAAAAAAATATAAATGTTCAATATAGTTGTGTAAAATCTATCTATTTAAATATGTTAATAGAAAGAATGTATTAATTACATAATGTTCATCGAGTTAAATTATCAATATGGATAGAGATGTCCAAATTGAGAAACAATCAAATGCTGTAATCGAGCTTTAATTTCATGAATTATAGATTTATCTACACCTGGTACACGTTGAGAAAACACTAGTCCTTGTCTGTAATGTTGTAATGCATCAGAAATATTGGATATTTGTGCATAAATATTGCCTATTATTAAACATGCATTAGCTATGATGTATCTTTGGAACTATTTCGTTGAAGTTTTTTCTTAAGTAATGTGCGAAAAAATATCAATGCTCGATGAAAATCTTGCATTTCCAAACAAGTATTACCAAGAATAATATATGTGTCATCTAATGATTGATTGTTATTTTGTTTAGTAATTAAATTTTGAAAATAAACTAATGTTTGATTTAAATAATGTTTTTCAAGTATAAAATTGTCTGTATGAAATGTATTTGTCGTCGTTGATGTTGTCCTCTGTAAATTTTGGTTAGGATGTGGGTGTGGGGTGTGGGTGAGTGTGGGTGTGGGTGTGGGATGTGGATGTGGGTGTGGATGTGGATGTGAATTTGGGTATGAATGTCCCCTTCATACACATCCAGATCCGTACCCACACCCACACCCACACCCAAATTTGCTTAATTAAATTTCAATTCTCAAAACCTAAGAATTGTCTGTTTGTCTTCAAATATGACAAAAAAAACTAGTCAAGTCAAATATCTTTCATTTGTTTAAAATTCGTTTAGATTTAAAGAGAAAATGAATGAAAATATTTATAAATAAGGATAAAATTTTCGAAAAGAATTTTATCATGAATTAGACACATTCAATTTTCTCCATCTATTTCTTCTTTTTCTATTCAATCAAACCAATCTACAGAAATGTATCAGGCATACAGAAAACTCATCTGACCGAGTTTAAAGATTAATTATACATAATTAAGATTTACGATTTCATCGTCTCTTTTATCAGCAAAATATTTCTATTGACGCTACAAATAGTTGAAGAATTGAAAGCAAATTAATGCAAAAGACATTGAGATCTAATGTTCTATGAACTTATCGTCTGTTAATCACACATCGAATCTCTCTTCTCACGTTTCGACACCAAAGAATCATTCTAATATCATACATAGCGTTAGACGTTAAACAGAATAATCTTGTAATTCCAATCATGTTCTTCACTTTTTACTATAGACATTACAACAATTGCGGTTATATGGTAATCAAATTGGTGACAAAGGAGCAAAACAACTGCAAAATGCGCTAAAAGTCAACCAACTAAGCTTCTCTTTTCAGCTGATCTCTGGATTAAACATTTTCACTTCGCCAGAAAAATTCTTCATAAGCATTAGAAGAGTCCTAGTTTAGCATATTTTAAGTCAACATAGTACAGTTGGAGCATCGAAACAACTAATT